GATAGACCATACTTAGAGAATATTCAAGTCTGACTATTTGACACATGAGATTATCTGATTGTCTGCTTCTCTGGTTTATAAGAATGACTGACCATAGTTAGAGAATATTGAAATCTGAATATTCGACTACTTGGACAATATTGAAATCTGAATATTCGACAATATTCGAAAGAATTTGAGCATGTAACATATTTAGATTTGACATGACCTCTCCTGAGTCGTTTGAGTCCTTTCTTGATCAATCACGATGACTATACAAAAATTTTTAAGTTTCTCCGCAAACGAGCACTTTTCCGAGGAAAAATGTTGTGTATGACGAACAAACATTTGATGAAAATCCATGGACATTGCTCTACTTCATATGAATACGTGGTTCCCATCTCACTACCATTACAAAGTCGTTGAGTAGAGCAACGGTTAGCTTGCGTTTTATTCCTGACAAGGAATTATATCGAGTGTAGAATCACTTGGTCTCTGACAGAGAAAAAGGGTATGCTACTGCATGATAATCTCAGAGTATTATATGCAATACTTGCGACTCTCTGAAGAAGTCCAGTTTTGCAGCACTCTCTACTCCCTTAAAGCTATGAGTTTTGTTCTTTCATTCTCTTTAGAGATTTTCAGACTGTTTCGAGAAAAATGTCCGTCTCTGCTCGAACACTCACACCAAAAACAAAAGTTGTCCTGTCAGCCGTTACTTCGTTCGATCTCCCATCAATATGTGAACCTGAGATGGAGGCTACGGCGAATGATCCTATTACGGACTTGATCACACCTGTCCATTTGCGCCCTCCACACGATCTTCGAGTTGTTCGAGCAGTAACGAGGTTACAAGAAGATCTTAACAATGCGAGCAACATGGAAATCAAGGCTTGTCTAGAAGACACGGGCGAGATCGTTGGCTTTGCCAAGTGAGGTCGTCCTTGGCTTCTGGTTATGGAGGAACAGAGCGGGGAGAAAAAAGAGAAGATAGAAAGCGAGAAAGATGCACAGAAAGATGCGGATCACGAGTTCATCAAAATCCTTTTGAAACAATTACAAACTAGACCTTTCTTTCGAACTATGAACGCATCTGAAATGCAAGTAACCAAACGCATAAGAACGCGATTTAAAAATTACTTGAGTTCCGTCTAACCGAGATTAGGTTACAAAATGCATCTAGGTGCGGTTAAACAGTTTCACCAGTTGCGTGCAGATGTGATTCCATATAAAAGCGCGTCCAGACACGTCACAAAAGTAACAAAACAGTCTATTCCGAAAAAAAACAGCGAATTATTCGTTCTACAATTAAAACCAGAAAATCACCGACAACTTTTGTTTTAACATTCATTATATATTTTTTATAACAGGCGTTAATAATATCTGAGAAATATATGTAACAGTAGTTATAGGTAATAGCCAGTTGCTGTTGTATATGTATTCGTTTCCACCCTGTGACGATTCTTTGTCACAACCTCTCTGTCCTGTACGTACTTCTTTCGGTAGGGCTACTCTCTTTTGTTCTGTTCTGTACTTTGTCTGTTTTTGTTCTTTCCTCGCTTGGTTCTTTCTTGGTTCTTATCTTTTGTGCATGCAGTAGTACATATATATATTAGTATTTTTCTTGTGTGAAGTTAGTTTTTTGTAGTTTGTGATAAAGAGTATTCGAATAAAAGAGTAATACTACAGATCTTAACGCACGCATACAATCAACTCAAGGACATATAATTAGGGGAAATATAGGTTCCTCACACTTGGCGATCTCGTCTTGCCGAATCTTCCGTTCTCCTGCAAAACTCTTCTTCTTCTTTTTTTCTTTCTATCTTTCTTCGTATTGTCTGGTAAGTCACATTGGTTTTTATCATGGCTGAATTTCCTAATTTATCCACCTCCGAAAGGTCCATCCAGGACCATCTTCAAAAGCTTTATGATAATCATCGCTCTCAGGCTGTACTCACAGATTCTCAAATACAGGAACAAAATGAAAAAATTGACTGTAAGAACCAGCATATCGAGAATCAAATTGAACTACTTCAGCATGCAGTCGATGCATTACAGTTGAAAGTAGATGATACTTCCTTGGCTACCAAAAACCAGTTGGAACGTTTGGCTCGAATCTTCGAGGACAGTCATCTTGCACTGCGCTCGACCATGTATGATTATCCCTCCGTACCTTTGCCTCCTCCTCCACTTGATCGTTCATCGATTTCTGAACCACTTATTGTTTCCCCCTCTCTTCGCCGCCCTTCTTGCGATACTCATCCTTACTGTTTCCCTAGTGTACACTTTTGGGACATGTCCTTCGAACAGGGACAAGAAGAAGCGTCATTTGAACTCGGTGACTTTGTCCTTATCGGTAAGGAACATCGTACGGTCCCAGCACGAATTACCCAAATTCTCTGTCTGCAGGACAAATATGAAATTGAATTCTATGATGGCTGTGACTTTCTCGCACAGCGCTATCTGACCTCGAGTTGTTACGTATTTCCTTACTCCATTCAGGATGACTCCGTTTATCAAGCGTACACATCGGATATTCCTCTTTCTAACCCTGAAGATGAACGCACTCTGTCAGTAGATGGCGACTCAACGGAAGCTGAAATAGTCCAGCTAGCTCCGATTTCCTTTTCGTCTACCGATAAACCCCTTGTGTCTGCTTCCAACGAATGTGTCGATTCTCTCGCCGGTCTGTCCGACATATTTTCCAAGCATGATCCATATGAAGTTTTTTGTGTCGCGGTTGCTGATGCAGTGCCCATCCTTGACTTCCATGCTATCAAACTACACATTGACAGAATCGAACCATCTATCCTTTCACCCATGCTGGTACCCGCTCTTGCCCCATTAGAGCATTTATTACAGTCCGTGAACCCAGACGCAGCTTCCATTGGCTCGCTCAAAATTGATTTGGATTCACTTAGTATCTTGCTTTGTCCATCCTCTTCGGAATCAATGTCAGTAGTTTCGCCTATCATCAGACCCTCTCAACCACTTATCCGTATGTTTTTCAACTCGGAAAGTGCCTCTGTTCACGAGTCTGATTATGCCTTCCGGCAACATCCAGTTCCCTTATCTACTCTCAAAACGCGGGACTCGATCACAGTTATATCTGCTTGGGATGAAACGTTTTGCCTAGCAGCATATCGATATATCCTGCCATTTCTACTTGTCTTTACCTTCTTCGGATTGATCATGCACCGTAACCACCCTTCACGATCTATCCTGACAATCCAGCTTAGGGAAGCCCATCCTCTTCCTGATCGAGTTTCGTTCTTACCTACTACTTTCCTCCGTCACTGCCTCCTTATCCGAAATTTCCTAGCACTACACTCGGAGTTCTGGAAATGGAAGTACAAATAGTCTGTCCATCTCCGGATATCCCTCTGTCGGTCATAGGTTTTCTCGATTTCACACGGATCCTCTCTTCACTTCTCCTTCTTCGTTTGTAAGTAGCTTACATTTCGTCGACACTGTGATAGTGTTAGACCTCGG